GTGTCCACACAGTGTGGGTTACAGACTCTGAGTGTGTTCTTTCATTCAGGGCCTGTGCTCTGGATCCACCTCCACCGCTCTCCACACCGCTCTGTACCTGGAAAAGTGGGCCTCCAGGGGCTGCCTGGCCCAGACTTCCTGCCCTCTGGCTTCTGGTTTTCTTTGGCCAAAGGGAGGTACTGGCAGGAGATCAAAGGGCAGGAGTTGAGAAAGGTCAGGGTATTTATCCCCCTGGCTCCTTCCTTCCAGGCTGCAGTCTAAGGCGTCTTAAATCTTGACATCTGCTTCTTGCCTCCAGTCACTAAATCTCAGATATTGCTTCTGCAGTTCTCTTTAAGAGGTCTTTTCAAACTGAGACTTTGATTTCTTTGGAAGACTCTGTTTCCCTCTAACATGCTTTGCAAAATTCTGGCTCTGCCAGCAGAAGTCCTCTGTCTCTCTCTAAACTGCGTGTGCGTGTCTCCATCCTCTCAAGAAGAACCAGACACTATGACAATAGAAGTGTTGTTTGTGGAAACTCCTTTTGCTGGAATCACTTCTTTCTTGTAACAGGGGTAGCTCGCCCTCACCTTCACTTTTTCCAGGCACAACTATCCTGTGCAAAGCCATTACCTGGCCCCTCATGAAGGCTTCTCTGGGTGTTACTCTCTAATCACTTCACAGCAGATTGCATTTTCAAAGATGGATGCAGTAATATCTCCTATCCCCCATGCTCTTCTGCAATGTGACCTTGACAGTCTTCCCATCAAGAGGTGGAATTTTTGTCCCTCTCTCCCCCTGCTTGGATATGAGTAAGCTTGTTGTTGTTTCCATCAATGGAGTGTGGCAGAAAGGATTCGTTGTGACTTCTGAAACAGGGTCAAAAGGCCAGTTGGCTTTGATCTGGTCTTCTTGAAATGCTCGCTCTTCAAAGGTCCCGTCTTGGGACCCTTCGTCTCAGAACTTAGCTAGCAGACTGTGAGAAGCCCAAGGGCAGTAGTCCAGCCCACAGTCCCAGTTGAGCCAGCCTTCCACCTATCCCAGCTCAGGTAGCAGACAAGGGAGTGAAGAGCCCATGTGGGAGATAGATCCTCCAATTCCAGCAATTCCAGCCCCTCGTAGTCCAAATCTTCCCAGATGAGGCCCCAGACATGGTAGAGCAGAGAAGAAGCATCCCCACTGTGGCCTTTCCAATACTTGATCCCTGGGATCCATGAGCATACTACATGGTGGTTGTTTTGCACCACTAAGTTCAGGGAGGTTTGTTATGCAGTCATGGTAAGTGGACCATGTTGTGTGCCGCTGTGTGGTTACCTGGTGATGGGAGCAGCTGATTTGTTCAGAAATGCACAGCCCCCAGGAACCAAACTTTAAACAACAGCCCCTCTCCACTTCTATTTTAGAAGGAGGGGAGATAACGGAAGTTTGGCTTTTTCTCCAAACATCGATTCAGTGATTTGAGAACAAGTATGGGTATTTAAAATCAAGGGATGCTATAAACATTCGATATACTGCTCAAATTCCAGTGCTATTTTTGTAATGTGGGGTTGCAGGTTTTCCTCCTTGGCTGCAATTGTCTCTAATCTTGCAGCCATCTGTACCTGCTACGATGAAAGTAGAACACCCCATGCCTTCTCTCCCCGGTCCCTGCTCAGATTACATGCTTATATTAGGTTGAACCGTATGAATTTGCCATTTTGTAGGTCATAAATGGTTAAATCTCAGCAATTTCATGTGGTTCAACCTAATGCTATCCTCCATCTCCTCAAACACATCTATCACTGAATTGTATTCTGAGGTTTCAACCTAAATGGAACTTGCTCTCTGCTTTCCTTTCCTGCCCCACTCCACCTAAACTGGATTATTCTGTATCACAGCATCTTGTCCTTTCCTCCAGAACATTCATCACAATTCGTAATTACATATGTGTTTATTATTTAATGTCTAATAGCCCAACTAGACTTATGTAAACGCCACGAGCGCTGCACATGGTTGTTTCCCAGCCCCTGGCATGGGGCCTGGCACATCATAGCCACTCAATAAATGTCAGCTCAATTAATGTATATTCAATGTGGCTCTCTTCATGTGCAGGCAATGTTTTTATTCTGTTGCCAGAGTATCCTGAAAACACTATGGTCCCTGTCATTGCATTTGGATCTGAATGTAAGCTCCTAGAGCAATGAATGGTTTCTGATCCTGACTGTCCATTAGAAACACCCGGAAAGACTTTAGAAAATGCTGAGGGGCCTGTCCTCAAATCAAAGTCTCCAAGGAACGGGGGCGAGCCCAGGCATGGTTGAGAAACAGTTTTGGAAGACAGAGACCCCATCTACAGAGATCTCTATGCCCGGTGCTGTGAAATCATGACGCTTTCTTGCTGTTGCCCCAGTGGTCAAGCTTCAAACCCCAATCAGGTAATTTTGTTCTCAGTCCCAGTTGCCTTCTTTGGGCACATTAGATGTTGCCACCAACCAGTAAGCTTTTGAGAACCAATCAAACTTATTTTGCAAGCACCTTTTTCAGTGGTTGTACCAAGGGGTGGCTTTAGCTTTTCCATAGCCTCAAACAGAGCCCCAAATCCACTCCAAATAAACATGAAGTCTAAATTAAGAGAGTGTGTGCTTCTAAGCAGACTCTCTAACCTCTCCTTCCAACAGTACTCCCATGCTTAGGCCCTTCCCGTAGAGAAATTCTCAAGCCATTGCATAATTTCCTTTCCTATCTTTTCAACCCTTAGGATTTTCCATAAGTCACCGTTTAAGGGGAATCCACCCCCACCCCCCCATCTAACCTTCTTTCTGTCCTTCCACATCCATTTGAATACTGAATACCCACTGTGTAGCCTTTCTACATGCCCAGGACCAGGTCTTACCCATTAGAGGGCATACCAACCTGAATAGGGCTTAGTTCCGCCCCCAATAAGCTCACATAATGAGAAATTGAAACAAGGTGATATGTGCTGTTTTAACAACTTGTAAAAGGTGTCATTGGGACACACTAAGGAAAATGATTAGTTATTGGTAGGAGGAATAAAGGAAGGCTTCACAGAGGTGGTATTAACTGGACATTGATAAGCAGGAGTCCACTGGGCTGGAGGCAAAATGGGCAAGTGACAGGTGTCTGGGCAAATGCGAAACCTAAAGAATCAGAATAAACCCAACAGTCCTGGATGTAAGCAAAATAAATCAAGCAGTAGATAGGTATACATCAACCCCCTATCCTGAATGCGGCCTCAGACCACAGAGGGCCCTCTCCTCGTTTCCTAAGAGCAAGACATGTTGTGCGTTTGTTACTCACAGTCACACAAAACAAATCCCATTTTCATAAACTTTATTGATTCACCGTGCTGTTTACAGCTACTGATTTTATATACTCTTCTCATCAAACTGCAAGTTGATTATTTCACTTCATACATATTGTAGTAATTAGACTGCTTACTTTCATGGCATGATAGGTTTTGTACCCTTTGCCAGTGACACTGCTGACAAGGCACAGTTTATCTCACTTTACTGCGTTGTTTTATTAATTCTTCCACAGCCAACTAAGCTCTTTCTCTTGGGAATTGCCTGGGAGGCAGAGAGTCTTATTTCTGTCCCACTTTGGTATTCCTAGGGCTGAGCAGAATTTTGAATTGGTCTCACTTTCCAGTAAGTTCACCCTGCCTGATTCTGAATCAGGGTTTATTTTGGTTATCTATTGCTGGAAAGCAAACCACACCAGCACTTGGTGGCTTAAAATAACAACAGCCATTTACTGTCTTTCACATTTCTGAGAGTTAACCAGGCTCAGCTGGCTGTTTCTTCTGCTCTGTGTGGTGCTGGGTGGGACTGCAGCCATCTGGGGACTTCACCAGGGTGGAACTTCTCAGTTGCCTCACCAGTGTGCTTGGCAGCTGGCACTGGCTGGTGGCTGGACGCTCATCTGGGACTGTTGACCAGAGCACCTTAGTTCTTCTCCATTCGGTTTTTCCACATGGCTTGAGTGTCTCATGGCATAGTCTGGATTCCAAAAGGGAGCATTTCTCGCACACAAGAGAAACCGCAGGCCTCTCCAGGCTCAGCCTTGGAAGTTACACAGTGTCACTTCTGCTGCTTTCTATTGGATGAGGAAAGTCAGAGGGCCAGCGCAGACTCAGGGTGAAAGGATATGGATCCACCTCTTAATGAGAGGAGTGGCAAAGAACTTGCAGCCATGTTTAATGCACTATAGGTATTTTCTCTAGAGATCAATTTGCTTGCTGAGGACACAGTATACCACAAAATGTATCGCTGACGTTGCCCAATTGTTTCACAAATGTACAAGTCTACTGCATTTCTTAAAAAATCAACTCAAAGGCCAGCACCATCCCCTCCTTTTTTATACACATCTTACTGCGATGGAGAATAATCAGGCTCAGGAGCTATGCTTCTGTTTACTCTTCTGGCTCACTGATATTGATGACCACTGTTAAATAAAAGCATGCTTGCATTTCACTTTTTCATTTATATTTTGTCATTTTGCATTTTTGGTTGAATAATACTTCTATATCCTATTTTTTAAATTAATTTATTTATTGTTGGCTGCATTGGGTCTTCATTGCTGCACTCCTGCTTTCTCTAGTTGCGGCGAGCGGGGGCTACTCTTCATTACGGTACGGAGTCTTCTCATTGAGGTGGCTTCTCTTGTTGCGGAGCACGTGCTCTAGGCGCACGGGCTTCAGTAGTTGTGGCTCGAGGGCTCTAGAGCGTAGGCTCAGTAGTTGTGGCGCCGGGCTTCGTTGCTCTGTGGCAGGCATGTGGGATCTTCCCGGCAGAGGGCTCAAACCCGTGTCCCCTGCACTGACAGGCGGATTCTCAACCACTGTGCCACCAGGGAAGCCCTAGAGCTCTTTTTTGATTCCAGTTCATAAAGGATATAGAAGTGGGCTTACCTGGTGGCACAGTGGAGCTGGGAAAGGGGGACTGGGGCAGATTGAGAATAGCATTGAATGCCACATTTTGGTCACGTTTACTTAAGTGGTGGTGAGGGAGCAAAAGGTTTTCAATAAGCAACCGATGCCGTCTTGAATGGTAATGTCTTTGGCAATGTTGTGTAGGAATTGGAGGAACGTGTTTCAGGAAACAACCTATAGAAGAAACACACAAAGATAAGAATGGGCAGCACATTCAAAAATTCACAAATGGGCCAGTATTGCTAGGGAAGTGGAGGTGGCCTGGGAAAGCCAGTGGCAGCTCACGAGGCCATGGCAGGTGTGTGCCCAGGCACCCTCCCTTTGGTCCCCAATCTCCTGTCTGGGCGCCTAGGGCCCCCAGTGCGTGTCTCTGTACCCCATGGTTTCTCCTGCCCATGGTGTCATAACATGATCGGACTTCCTTCCCAGGCTACCAGTCCTTCTTGGCTCTTCATATGCTCCGTGCACGTGGGGCTCCTTGTCAGAGCCACTGTCAGATACATTTCCTCTGCCATGCTGCCCCATGGCACATCTACCTCCTGATAAGCCCCTGACCTCTTGTCTTGTGGGAGTAGAGGGCTCACAGAGCCCCTGGCTGCTTTAACTTCCAACTTCTGAGGAAAAAACCCAAAACAACCCAGAGTTAAGATCTCAAAGCCCTTTATAGTCTGTTAAATTGTGTGCAAACAGTATTATTGCCATCATTATGAGTTCCAGAATTCTGCAAATCCTTGGTGGTCAGGAGCCTGTGTGTTTTTCATTTCCTCTAAGGCACTTGGCATGGTCCTTTGGTGGTATATATGTCCTCAGTAAGTAATGATGGTAATGAATAGTGATAATGTATAGTTTATTTATCTCTGTGCTTACCCTTTCCAAGCATCGGGGTAATTTTTCTTCCAAACATTGGGGTCTGTGGACAATTTTAAGAGGTGCACTGAGGTTCAAGAGTTCTTTATTGATCCTTTTCTTTCCATTCTGGAATTTTAATAAAACAGCCACTGGCCATTAAAGCCCGCATATCATGAGAGTGTAGGAACGAAATTAAAGATGAGAAATTATTGGGACAAGGAGATACCACTTCATACCCATTAGGATGGCTATAATTAAAAAGACAGGTAAAAACAAGTGTTGATGAGGATGTGGAAAAATTAGAAACTTCATACATTGCTGATGGAAATGTAAAACAGTGCTTTTGAAAATTTGTCAGTTCCTCAGAATGTTTAACATAGAGTTATCATTTAATCCAGAAATTCCTAGAGATGTATCCAAGAGAATTGAAAACATATTCACACTAAAATTGATACATAAATGTTCTCTAAAGTATTAGTGATAGTAGCCAAAAAGTAAACAATCCAAATGTCCAACTGATGAATGGGTAAGTAAACGTGGTACATACATGCAATGGATTATTCTGCCATAAAAAGGAATGAACTTCTGATACATGCTACACCATGGATGAACCTTGAAATAATTATGCTACATTTAAGAAGCCAGTCACAGAAGACCATATTGTATGATTTTGTTTATATGAGATGTTCAGAAAAGACAACTCCATAGAGACAGAAGGTAGAATAGTGGTTGCGTACGACTGTATGTCAGGCAGGGAGGGAGACGGGACAGTGACCGCTAAGGGCTATGGGTTTTATTGGGAGGTGATGAAAATGTTCTAAAATTGATTGATGGTTACATTACTCCCTAAATATATTAAAAACCATTGAATTTTACATTTTAAGTGGATGAATTGCATGAAGTGTAAATTGTATCTCAGTAAAGCTCTTTCTAAAAAATAATTAGTGTGAAGAGAGATTTACAAGCATTTCAACCCTTGTTAGTGTTCACCTAGCTTCTAGTTCTGACCATCCCTCCATGATGACCTCCTCAACTCTGAGAGTAAAGTTGTGACTCCTGCTACAATTCTTTCCCTGTCCCTGCAAGGGACAGTAACTGTGGTTCGTATCCGACTCTTAGACTTCCTTCCTTCCTGAGTACTCCGTGGGCCATCCCCTACTTCTGCAGCATTAGCCCTGGTCCCTCAGGCTCTATAAATCACACTTGCCATTCTTCCCGCTCACTTTAAAGTGATCTGAGATACTTTGTATAAAGGATGAGGCAGCACATAAAAATAACTAGTATTGTACTGATTTTTCTCATCTGGTGGTTTGGGGGAAACATATTTGTAAAATTCTAGCAAATGTGAAAAGCCACAGAAAATTGCCTCTCATTCAGGTGGAGAAGCTAGATTTTTAATTTTGTTTTATTGATCAGTGAGGTAGGTACAATGATATTTTACTTCATAGTTTTCCTGCAGGAGCGACATTCACCCATCCTGCTGCAACTGCCAGGCCAACTTAGCTAGCGGGCCGTTCTATGTGTGCCAGAGGCAGCCGTGGAAAAGGCAGGGATTCCTGGGCTGGCAGCTCCATCTCCCCAAAGTGCAAATGCAACCTGAAGTATATGACTTACTAAGGGAGCACGTTGTTACAGACAAGTTGGAAGAGTCTGTTTGACAGCTGAAGTCAGACCATTTTGATTTTTACATAAAGATAGTTAAACATCGCTTTGACAGGTTTATTCTAATTTGGTAAAGGCAATAATTTTATGGGATGGTAACTGTTTCCTTGCAGTACTGATTCCTGCTGTTACTCTTGCATTTTCTTCTAATTGGCAGATTGATGGGCTCCCAAGAGTTTGCTCAGAAACCATTTGCAGAAGAAGAAAGACCAATCAGAGGAGCTTGCCTTCTCTCCTGAAAGATGAGTTCTAATAGTGTGGGTAAAGGGGCTAATTTTACACACATTTTACAAATGATTTCTGGCATACTCATGGACTTTTTACCTAAATTTAATTTGTATGAAAGTAATAAATGTGCTTAGTTTAAAAGTCCAATACTACTACAAGACTGAAAGAAAAACAGCAACCCTTTCCCCAACCGATCCCCTCCCCCAATTTCTTCTTCCATGAGATTCCAGGAAATTCCTTTCATCTCTTTAGCTGTACCTCCTGCTATTTACCTTCATATTTCTAAATGACAATATTATACTGCTATTTGTTTTTCAGTTACAGCTACTACCCATTAACCTCCTGTCGTGGAAATGAGGATTCCGCTCTCATGCTCCTCCACCTTGTCATCCTTGGAATTCCTTTTTCTTCTCTTCTCTGTTGGATCCTCTAATTTTTGTTTATTTGTTGTGACTGATGTTGTTAATCTCATGTCTTGCTCTTTCTTAACTACCTTGTTTTGGTGGAGCATATCCTCTAGGAACTTTCTGAAAAGTGACACATGGGAAATTCCCTGGCAGTCCAGTGGTTAGGACTCGGTGCTTTCACTGCCGTGGCCCCGGGTAGCCCAGGTTCAATCTCTAGGCGGGGAACTAAGAACCTGCAAGCCTCGAGGCACGGCCAAAAAAAAAAAAAAGTGACACATGGAAGATACATTTTGAGATCTTGTCCTTTTTTGCCATCATATTTGATTGAAAGCTTAGCTGGGTATGAGATTCTAGCTTGGAAATTATTTTCTCTTAGGACCTCAAAGGCATTATTCCATTGTCTTCTAACTTCTGGTACTGCTACTGAAGAGTCTGATACCATCCTGCTTCTGCATGTGATCTGTTATCTGTTCTCTCTGTCTCTGTCTCAGAGCTTTTATTCTTTATCCCCAGAAATCTACAATATCTTTGATATCTATCAATATCATTGTTGTGGGTTATTTTCAATCATTGTGTTGGGCCTTTGTGGAGCTCATTCAATCTGAAAAATATCCTTCGGGAAAGTTTTCTTATGTAATTTCTTTGATAGCTCCCTGGTCTGTTTTATTTGTTCTATCATCTTTCAGAAATTAGACTTCCTGAATTGATTCTCCAGCTTTCTCTTCTCCATACTTTTCCCTATTTATACTATTTTCTGGAAGAGTTAGTCAGTTATCTTCCAATTCTGTTACATTAAAAATTTCTGTTATCATGTATTTAATTTCCAAGAGCTTTCTATTGTACACTGGATATTCCTCTTTTCTAGCATCTTGCTATTTCCCTTCCTCTCTGAAGATAACAGTCATTATTCCCTGAAGTTTTGCCCTGATCCCTGCGTTGCCTCTGTGTCCTTTACCATACTTGCATCGTGGGACAGATAACTCAGTGTGCAGCTCCAACATGGCTTGAGCCAAATTAACATGAAGAAATCATTATTGAAATTTTCTTCTTTTTGTTTCTGGAGATACTGCACCATACTGAGTCTCTTCCTAATATATTTGACCCCTCCTCTCTCCCTTCAATGCATCCTCTTCTCTCCTTCTTTAATCGAGGGGCCATCATTTGATGGATCTGCTACTCTTCTGTTTCTAAATTTAAAAAGAAAAGACCCCCAACTTGGAGCTTTCCTTATTCTCATAGGTTCAACTAGTAGCTCTGTGTGAATCTATAGTGCTTCAATCTCTATTTCCAAACTGTTTCGTACACGAGACCTGGTTCTATATGCCTACTGCCTATCAGACATTTCCCTTTGAAGATTCTGACACAGTTCAAATGCAACATGTTTGCACCAAACTAACATCAAACCAATTTTCCACAGAATGAATGTCTGCTCCCAGTAGCATCTCCTTCACTCAGCCTCTCAGACTTGAAACTTGAGAACCAGTCAGTCTTACCTTTAATCTCAATAGCTGGCAACACTCAGCTGATGCTTACTCAGAATTTGAGAGTGTTCTACGTACTAGAGACTGTGGTGAGGTTAATGCTATGACAGGTTTAGGTCATGGTCTCTGCTCAAGGTGTTACCGTCTGTGATCTGGAAGTGCATGAGACTCAAGTTAGGGGTGTGTCTACGCATCTTCTAGATCACTACTGTTGCAGGCTGGGCTCTCCAGGAAGCAGACTCTGAGGTGGAGATTAATGCACAGAAAGTTTGGGGGCGGTGCTCTTGAGGTCAACACCCGAGTAGAGGAAGAGAAAGAAGCAGGAGTGGGCAAAGGGAAAAGTTGAGCTGTGCTGTCTTTGTGGCGGCCTCAGCAGACAGACGCTAAGGGGAGTTCAGAAGCTGAGACAGCAACTCTTCATAGAAGGAACCAGAGCTTTATATTTCCATGGACCAGTCATTGGATGCAGGCGACCTTAGGAAAGGGGCTGACCTTGGACAAAGCAGCTCCCTTTAGGAGAGGCAATCCCCGAGGGCTTTCTGTCAGCAGTGGGGAGAGTCACACCTTCATCCCCGAAGGGACATGTGGCATGTGGTGCTGCTTCCCGGCATCCACGAGATCTGTGGACTTAAGCATAGTCTTGGTCACCTCAGAGGTAGATAACAAATAGTCAGGGGTTGGTTGACTGAGTGAAGAATTCAGAAAGAATGAGGTAATCTTTCATTCATTCATTGTATTTCATGCCAACTGAACCCACTCAGGCTGCATTAGGTATTAAAGATAAAATGATAAAATTCACAGGCTCAGCCTTAAATAAGCTTGCAGTCTGGTAGGGACTACCAAAAAGTAAGCAAATACTATAATACCATGAGAATTATAAAACAGAGGATTATGGACTAAAAATGCATTTTCAAAGAAGATTTAGGACATGAAAAATACCAAATGAAAAAAGAGAATACAAACTGTTTAAACAGATTTGTTTAAGCATATTTTCCAGCATATGTTTTTGTTAAACCAGTGCTAAAAAATCCCTTGCAATCTGATTTGTAAACTTTCTGAACTATTTTTAAAAATTACCATTCACCTAGAAACACTACATGCACTGAACTGTTACAGGCAATATTGTCCTTGTCTTTTTTGCAGCTTTATTTTTTTTCCTTCTCTAAATATGTAAAAATGTATAAATATATGTATAGAAAAAAATTCTGGAAAGAAATTTATTGATTAACAGTACTTATAACCCCAAGTTGTTGACTTTTGTCTTAATTTTTTTCTCTTTAAGCTTGTTTTTTTTTTTTTTTGGTCTTGACCAAATTTTCCACTATAAGTCTGAGTGCCTTTTATAATGAAAGAAAAAGACTTTAAAATACAGTGTGAAAGTGTGACAAAGTCATGTGAACACAGAAGAAGAAAACTCAAGCCGTTAAGTGAGGGAGAGCTTCTCAGAAGAGGCATCACCTACGCCACGCCAAGCATGGAAGGTGAGTCGGAACGGCCAGGAGAAGGGAGGGGGCTCACGGTGCCTGTGCTTGAAGGACCTTTCAAGCAGAAAGGATGAAATGTGCCCCTGCCCCTGGATGTGAAGAAGCATGCAGGGTGAACTGCAAGTTCAGAAGGTCTGAGAACTAGGGAGCTTTTGAGTGGTGAGAGATGAGGCTGGAAGGGCAAGAAGCAGGCAGATCGTGAAGGGCTGGAGGAACAGGAATGTGGACTTCATCTGGGAGCCCCAGGCAGATGCTCCCACGACACCTAATACAGCTGAAAAGGACCCATGGCCGAATAAGGTATTGATTTTTTTTTTTTTCATTTTAACATCTTTATTGGAGAATAATTGCTTTACAATGGTATGTTAGTTTCAGCTTCACAACAAAATGAATCAGTTATATATATACTTATGTTCCCATATCTCTTCCCGCTTGCGTCTCCCTCCCTCCCACTCTCCCTATCCCACCCCTCTAGGTGGTCACAAAGCACCGAGCTGATCTCCCTGTGCTATGCGGCTGCTTCCCACTAGCTATCTGCCTTACGTTTGGTAGTGTATATATGTCCATGCCTCTCTCTCGCTTTGTCACCGTTTACCCTTCCCCCTCCCCATAGCCTCAAGTCCATTCTCTAGTAGTAAGTCTGTGTCTATATTCCTGTTTCACCCCTAGGTTTTTCATGACATTTTTTTTTCTTAAATTCCATATATATGTGTTAGCATATGGTATTTGTCTCTCTCTTTCTGACTTACTTCACTCTGTATGACAGACTCTAGGTCTATCCACCACATTACAAATAGCTCAATTTCGTTTCTTTTTATGGCTGAGTAATATTCCATTGTATATATGTGCCACATCTTCTTTATCCATTCATCCGATGATGGACACTTAGGTTGTTTCCATCTCTGGGCTATTGTAAATAGAGCTGCAATGAACATTTTGGTACATGACTCTTTTTGAATTATGGTTTTCTTATATGCCCAGTAGTGGGATTGCTGGGTCATATGGTAGTTCTATTTGTAGTTTTTTAAGGAACCTCCATACTGTTCTCCACAGTGGCTGTATCAATTTACATTCCCACCAACAGTGCAAGAGGGTTCCCTTTTCTCCACACCCTCTCCAGCATTTATTGTTTCTAGATTTTGTGATGATGGCCATTCTGACTGGTGTGAGATGATAGCTCATTGTAGTTTTTTTTTTTGTTTTTTTTTTCTCATTGTAGTTTTGATTTGCATTTCTCTAATGATTAGTGATGTTGAGCATTCTTTCATGTGTTTGTTGGCACTCTGTATATCTTCTTTGGAGAAATGTCTATTTAGGTCTTCTGCCCATTTTTGGATTGGGTTGTTTGTTTTTTTGTTATTAAGCTGCATGAGCTGCTTATAAATTTTGGAGATTAATCCTTTGTCGGTTGCTTCATTTGCAAATATTTTCTCCCATTCTGAGGGTTGTCTTTTGGTCTTCTTTATGGTTTCCTTTGCTGCGCAAAAACTTTTAAGTTTCATTAGGTCCCATTTGTTTACTTTTGTTTTTATTTCCATTTCTCTAGGAGGTGGGTCAAAAAGGACCTTGCTGTGATTTATGTCAGAGTGTCCTGCCTATGTTTTCCTCTAAGAGTTTGATAGTTTCTGGCCTTACATTTCGGTCTTTAATCCATTTTGAGCTTATTTTTGTGTATGGTGTTAGGGAGTGATCTAATCTCATACTTTTACATGTAGCTGTCCAGTTTTCCCAGCACCACTTATTGAAGAGGCTGTCCTTTCTCCACTGTACATTCCTGCCTCCTTTGTCAAAGATAAGGTGACCATATGTGCGTGGGTTTATCTCTGGGCTCTCTATCCTGTTCCATTGATCTATATTTCTGTTTTTTGTGCCAGTACCATACTGTCTTGATTACTGTAGCTTTGTAGTATAGTCTGAAGTCAGGAAGCCTGATTCCTCCAGCTCCGTTTTTCGTTCTCAAGATTGCTTTGGCTATTCGGGGTCTTTTGTGTTTCCATACAAATTGTGAAATTTTTTGTTCTAGTTCTGTGAAAAATGCCAGTGGTAATTTGATAGGGATTGCATTGAATCTGTAGATTGCTTTGGGTAGTAGAGTCATTTTCACAATGTTGATTCTTCCAATCCAAGAACATGGTATATCGCTCCATCTATTTGTATCATCTTTAATTTCTTTCATCAGTGTCTTATAATTTTCTGCATACAGGTCTTTTGTCTCCTTAGGTAGGTTTATTCCTAGATATTTTATTCTTTTTGTTGCAATGGTAAATGGGAGTGTTTTCTTGATTTCACTTTCAGATTTTTCATCCTTAGTGTATAGGAATGCCAGAGATTTCTGTGCATTAATTTTGTATCCTGCAACTTTACCAAATTCATTGATGAGCTCTAGTAGTTTTCTGGTAGCATCTTTAGGATTCTCTATATATAGTATCATGTCATCTGCAAAGAGTGACAGCTTTACTTCTTCTTTTCCGATTTGGATTCCTTTTATTTCCTTTTCTTCTCTGATTGCTGTGGCTAAAACTTCCAAAACTATGTTGAATAAGAGTGGTGAGAGTGGGCAACCTTGTCTTGTTCCTGATCTTAGTGGAAATGCTTTCAGTTTTTCACCATTGAGGACGATGTTGGCTGTGGGTTTGTCATATATGGCCTTTATTATGTTGAGGAAAGTTCCCTCTATGCCTACTTTCTGCAGGGTTTTTATCATAAATGGGTGTTGAATTTTGTCGAAAGCTTTTTCTGCATCTATTGAGATGATCATATGGTTTTTCTCCTTCAATTTGTTAATATGGTGTATCACGGTGATTGATTTGCGTATATTGAAGAATCCTTGCATTCCTGGAATAAACCCCACTTGATCATGGTGTATGATCCATTTAATGTGCTGCTGGATTCTGTTTGCTAGTATTTTGTTGAGGATTTTTGCATCTATGTTCATCAGTGATATTGGCCTGTAGTTTTCTTTCTTTGTGACATCCTTGTCTGGTTTTGGTATCAGGGTGATGGTGGCCTCGTAGAATGAGTTGGGGAGTGTTCCTCCCTCTGCTATATTTTGGAAGAGTTTGAGAAGGACAGGTGATAGCTCTTCTCTAAATGTTTGATAGAATTCGCCTGTGAAGCCATCTGGTCCTGGGCTTTTGCTTGTTGGAAGATTTTTAATCATAGTTTCAATTTCAGTGCTTGTGATTGGTCTGTTCATATTTTCTATTTCTTCCTGATTCAGTCTTGGCAGGTTGTGCCTTTCTAAGAATTTGTCCATTTCTTCCAGGTTGTCCATTTTATTGGCATAGAGTTGCTTGTAGTAATCTCTCATGATCTTTTGTATTTCTGCAGTGTCAGTTGTTACTTCTCCTTTTTCATTTCTAAATCTATTGATTTGAGTCTTCTCCCTTATTTTCTTGATGAGTCTGGCTAATGGTTTATCAATTTTGTTTATCCTTTCAAAGAACCAGCTTTTAGTTTTATTGATCTTTGCTATCGTTTCCTTCATTTCTTTTTCATTTATTTCTGATCTGATTTTTATGATTTCTTTCCTTCTGCTAACTTTGGGGATTTTTTGTTCTTCTTTCTCTAATTGCTTTAGGTGCAAGGTTAGGTTGTTTATTCGAGATGTTTCCTGTTTCTTAAGGTAGGATTGTATTGCTATAAACTTCCCTCTGAGAACTGCTTTTGCTGCATCCCATAGATTTTGAGTTGTCGTGTCTCCATTGTCATTTGTTTCTAGGTATTTTTTGATTTCCTCTTTGATTTCTTCAGTGATCACTTCGTTATTAAGTAGTGTATTGTTTAGCCTCCATGTGTTTGTATTTTTTACAGATCTTTTCCTGTAATTGATATCTAGTCTCATAGCGTTGTGGTCGGAAAAGATACTTGATACAATTTCAATTTTCTTAAATTTACCAAGGCTTGATTTGTGACCCAAGATATGATCTATCCTGGAGAATGTTTCATGAGCACTTGAGAAAAATGTGTATTCTGTTGTTTTTGGATGCAATGTCCTATAAATATCAATTAAGTCCATCTCGTTTAATGTATCATTTAAAGCTTGTGTTTCCTTATTTATTTTCATTTTGGATGATCTGTCCATTGGTGAAAGTGGGGTGTTAAAGTCCCCTACTATGAATGTGTTACTGTCGATTTCCCCTT